GCCTGGACATCAGAACTCAAATCAGAAGAACAAAGCCCATTTTAGGCCGCAAAGCTCTGTTCTCACTAAGTCAACCCCAGGTTCCGTTTTGCGCTTAAGGTTCGGTGAAATATCTGAGAAGCTTTTGGAGACAAAGATTTGACTGACAGATCTCTAAAGGTCTGCAATGCGGGCTAAAGCTCAGCTTCACATAAAGAAATGGCTGAAGTCCAGTTTTAAATAATAATTACTTACAGATTTCATCCCAAAATCTCCCTAAAAGTAATTCATTTCTGTTATGCCTATCTTTTTATAAAAGTAACTAGTTTCTCGTGCCCATTTAGACTTGCCCAAGGGAAAATAAATTGCCAGTCATTAATAAGATGCAGGTCATGTTCCTTGATTCTCACCTGGTTATGGTATTGTGTACTTACAGTTACACTATAGAAAGAATGAAGTTATTCTGTGTTACATCAACATCATAATATAACTTGATCCTGCCTTGGTTTGGGCCTTGGGAAGCCTCTCTTGTTCCTCAGAAATCTTTGATCCAGCAGAGCTGGAAAACTCTTGAGAATACCTTCTCAGATCAGACGGAAAATCTGGCTAATCGAGACCAATACTTGGTTAGATATTGAAAACCCAGGTGCTCCAGCTGAGAAACCCACATACAGTCGTGCCCCGCTTAACAATTACCCTGTGTGATGATGAATCTGCTTCATGACGATGTTTTTGCAATCGCAATTGGGATCGCAAAATGATGTTTACATGGGTTTTTTTCACTTTGCGACAATCGGTTCCCTGCTTCGGGAACCGATTCTTCGCATTACGACGATCAAAACAGCTGATCGTCAGGTTTTTAAAATGGCTCCCCACTGTTTTTAGGAGGCATTTTTCCCTTAACAGGCACCCGAAAATGGCCGCCTTATGGAGGATCTTCGCGGGACGAGCAGGTATTCAGCCCATTGGAATGCACTGAACGGTTTTCAATGCATTTCAATTGGCTTTTTTATTTTGCTCGACGTTTTCACTCTACAGCGATTTCGCTGGAATGAATTAACATCGTCAAGCAAGGCACCACTGTATTTAGCACAGCATCAACAGTCATTTCTCTCTCAGCTGACCGGTGGTTCATGATCCAGAGGATTTACTCTCTTGTCCTTGCACTAGAGCAACCAGTTCCTAACCTTGTCTCTCCGGATGTTCTTGGACTAAAACTCCCAGAAACCTTCAAGGCTTGTTGCGCTGCCCAAAACATCTGGGAATTGTAGTCAAGAACGTCTGGGGACCCAAGGTTGGGAGGCCCTGCCAGATGCAGGTGATGGTTGCTTGGAAAGCAGCCTTTTGACTGATGCGCAAAGACCATACACTACACTTGATCTTAGCCAAAAGGCCGAGCACGCTAGCAATTAGAAGATCAAAGACCATATAGCTCATTTTTGTTTGTTATTCTTTGGTCACCGTCACATTCTTCCTTTTCTAATTATATTTTATGTGTGCCACAGTGATTT